CTTTCACCAATGTTTGTCAAAACAGTCAGCATGCCTAGGTACTTGATTTTATACACCTATGGCCATGGGTGTGATTGGAATACCTGATTCTGATTATTTGGATGGGTGAGCGAATACTTTTGGCAATATAGTGTATAACAACTATAAATTAATCAATACATAAATAAATATTCAGAATATAAGAACATATTTTTTACACCTTTTTGTAAACACGTACTTACTGTTCATTCACGACAAATATGCAATTATCCTGTGAGGGCTGTCCTGTGACTGGATGCTTGCAGGTCACTTTTCGTTCATTGTGACTGTGGAGGAAGAAATACAGGAATTATTTAAGTATGTATTGATTAATTTTGCAGCTAATTGGAAAACCCTTTTGAACTTTTTGCATGGAACAGAAAAAAATGAAATGACATACGGATTTGATGATTGGAAAAAAAAACTGTAGACCAGTGTTTCTCAACCTTGGCAACTTGAAGATGTCCGGACTTCAACTCCCAGAATTCCCCAGCCAGCGCTGGCTGGGGAATTCTGGGAGTTGAAGTCTGGACATCTTCAAGTTGCCAAGGTTGAGAAACACTGCTGTAGACAATAGGAAAAAAAAAAAGAAAGCCATGATATAAATTTAGATTACGTTTAATGTAAAAATATTTTTATAGTCTGTGAAACAGAGATGGAAGCAACTTCCTTCCTATTTTTCTTTTGACTCCTCTTGACTCTCATTCTGTTTATATTCCGGTTTGTCGCCTATTCTTCAAGACAGCTTAATTCCCCATTGCATGTTGATACAGATCAGACTGTCTCAAAGGTGCTTTCTTCGAAAAGCAACAGGGCTCTTTTTCCCCTGAGGAAGAAGAAAACATTTCGCTTCTTGTCCAAGAAGCTTCATTGGGTACTGATTGCGGGAGATGGAAGGTTAGGAATTGTCATTGAGACTGGATGGTGGGGGATAGAAGGATAGGGTCCATCCTCCCATCATCCAGTCTCAACTGTCAGTACCTATCCTTCCTCCCCACCGCCATCACAACTGATGAAGGTTCTTGGATGAAAAGCAAAATGTCTTCTTCTTTTCCCCCAAGGGCAAAACAAAAAACAAAAACAGCGTAGCAGCCTTTTGAAAGAAGTCCCTTTGGGACAGTTATGACCTGGATGACTGAGGAATCTCCACAGACATAAGGAATAGACGTTAGCAGTTCTCCTCCTTTTGACAGCTTTCCCTCCCAAAGTTAAGTTAGTTGACTCTCTTGTTTTGGAAATATGTGTCTATCCCTTCTCCTTCTTCTTTTGGCTGCTCCTTGGGCACAGGGGTTATTGTAATTATGCTGTTGAGTGATTATTTTTCTAAAATTTCTCAGATTCTTTTTGAACTATGTCATGTCACGAGCGGCAGAAGATAATCAACTTATGCGTGCATATAATCTTCAGAAGACAAAGGAGAAAAAATTGATAAGATATAGCCCATGTATACTGGGGAAAGATCCAAAGATCTACTGTAGTTATTATGAGAACGTAGGAGTCTCAAATGAATTCTCAGTTTTCTTTTTCTAAAGGTGTGCCAAAATTGTGTGTTTGTGCACGCTATCGCGCACCTACCTGCATAAGCGCCCCCCCACCTGTGCATGCATGCATGACCCCACACGCATGCTCCCCCCAGGCTCCGGAGGTTTTCCTAAAGCATGGGGAGGACAAAAATGGCCTCTACCAGCCTTCCGGAGGAGGCCATTTTTTGCCCTCCTTAGGGTTCAGGAAAGCCCCCGGAGCCCGTGGGAGGGCTCCTCATTTTATCTACATCTTTTAAAATCCTCAAACCCATCATTTATTGTATTTTAATTCTTTCATCAAAAAGTCCATGTAAGGTTTCCTTCTCTTATCAAAAAAAATTCTGTAAATCACCAATTAATTGTTTATCATTTAACTACTTTTTATAACATTTAGTTCTTCTGGTAAGGGCCAAATGCCTTGTAGTAAACACTGTATTTAATCCCATTCTCCTTATGCCTGCTGTTATGCTTATTTAAAACTTCCCAAAGTTTGCAAACAGGGGGGGAGGGGAGGACATGAAAAGGCAAAGCTTCAGTGATGCAACAATCTTCAATATACAGAATATTCTGCCAAAACGATAGTGATAACTGGTGGTGAAATTCCTATATAGGGAACATTAGCATCTGACAACATTTGAAACAAAACAAAATAAAAAGCATATTCAAACATATCCAGGCATATTTTAAGATTGAGAGAGCGAGGCGCATAGAAGATACATCCAAGTAAACTAAAATAAAATCAATCTCTCTCCCCGCTCTCTCCATCCTTCCATCCATCCGTCCGTCTATCCAGAGGTGGTTTTCAGCCGGTTTGGACCAATAGCAGAAATTTTGAGTAGTTCAGAGAACCGGCAAATACCGCCTCTGGTTGGCCCCGCCCTCCCACCCCTGTCGTTGCCTGTCCTATATTCCCTTGTTTTTTAGCTCAGCGGATTCACGCGGCAGAGAGGATTGTTTCCCCTCAGCTGAGCTAAACAACAGCTCAGCTCACCAGTGCTGACATCGAGGGCGGTCTCTCCCTCTCCCTCTCCCTCTGTGTGTGTGTGCGCGCACACACACACACACACACACACTCACATAGTATATATTTTATTAAACTATATATAGTTTAATAAAAAATTAAACTTTGTCTTGTATCTTCCATCCTTATGAGTAGCAGAAGTATAAATAATAACTAAGTTCTCCACCGCAAGATCTTCCCCCTGTGTTTTATTTTTTATTGTTTACTGCAAGCTGCCGGAGTTGATTTCATAATGCAGCCATCTTCCAAGGCCTATTGTGAACTTGCAAAGCTTTTGCATAGTGGGATAAATGTCATCCTAGCCAAACGGGTGAAACAGTGATTGCCTAAAAGCTGTACACAACGCTGCCCATCCGAGAAAGCAACCTGTACTTTGCCAACTTGCAGAAAGCAATCACTGCCCATAACTAATCGGAGAGTATGTTGTAACAGTAAGCACGCATATGGATGGGTATACTTAGGGTTTAGCCCACATCCAAGACTTGGAGATAAACATTAAAGATTTGCACGTGAAATCAGACCTATTTTGAGTATTAGGGAAACCAGTATTAAGATACTTGGGTTCTGGACCCTCAAAAGCTTAATTGGTGCCTCTAATGAATGGAGGGGGGGGGGGAGACTAAACAACTATTGAGGCTATTGTTTCACTGATTAGCAATTACCACTCCTCATTTAGTTTGAATGCATTTATGTTATGTCAACTCTGCAACTCTATCTCTTAGATGACATTAATGTTAAAGATTTCCCTGAAGCTTCCCAGGAAAAATAATACTTGAAAAGCTCTGCTGGGCAAATTCTTTGTTTGACGGCTGTATAGCAACCTGATCGTCTCATCTTTTCCACAGCCTAGAATTCCTGAAGGTTTTCTTGCAGGTTAATTAAATCTACCTGTCTGGAATTTAAAACCGGCATTAATTGCCCTCCTTTGGGTAGTAAACATTTTATTCTCTTGTTTCTTTATATCCTTTTAATTATGTGAAAGCTGTCAGTACGTAACCTACTTGGTGTTTCTTCTCGGAGCAAAATAGATTTGCTTTAACAAACTCGTGTTATCTTCATCATGCAGAATTAAAAAGCCCCTGAGACAGATGAAAGCAGAGGTATGTTTTATTCTATTTTTATTTTTTAATGTCAATGTAATGGTATTTGGCAGCAGCCAGCCTAAAAAGTCTACGATCCAGAAATCCAGAAACCTTCATTGCCATGCAGGGCCATTCTTTCTCAAATCAATATGTAAGTAGCTCTCTCCATCAGCGAAGGCTTCAGAAGTGGGCACAGCTGGCTGAGATATACCAGCACCAGAAATCAACCGACAGCTTGCATCTTAAATCTTCTTAACAGCATTTGTTTTTTTTTTAGTTAGGAAACCGAGGACTCAATATTGCATTTTACACAAGAGGTTGGAACCAAACATTTCTGTAGCTACCCTGTTTCCCTGAAAATAAGACCTCCCCGGATAATAAGGCCAATTGGGCTTTTGAGCGCATGCGCTAAAATAAGCCCTCCCTGAAAATATTGCAACGCAGCAGCAGCCATGAGNAGACCCAATACAGTAAGTTGATTATGTGCCATCAACTTGGCATCAACTCTTAGCAACTTCCGTACATAACAAGATTTTTCCTAGCTGAATCTGCCCCCAATCTTGCCCTTTCCCCCACAGCAACAGCCCCCCGTGAGGTTGATTGCACTGAGAGAGAGTGACTGGCCCAAAGTCATCCAGCTGACTTTCATGGCTAAGGCAGGACTTGAAATCATGCTCTTCTGCTTTCTGGCTTGGTGCCTTAACCACTAGAGCAAACTGGCCAAATTACATTTAGAAAAAATAATCAAAGCCAGAAACGGAATACTAGTATATTTTTTGCTGGAATTTTTTCCTGGTCTGAATTCCAACTTCTGAGTCATTTGCATGTAACGCTTCAAATTAATTTCATCTAACCATATGTTGCATTACTCATTTTTTTCTTTACCACTTGATTAAGTCACACACACATATGCCCACTGATCACATACATAATTCGCCTACAAAAATTTCTAAAACAGTCACTTTAGAAAAAAAATACTATCATTTTAAACCTCCCCTTTTAGAGTCAGAAATGGTTTTGCTCTTTGATACTGAAAATCTAAATCTATTAATAGAACAAGACGGCAAAAATCCCAACACCTTCCAAATACTGCCCACGATATGTATTTTTTTCATTTTGACAGGGCAAATTATTAATTCCCTAGGATGTAAATATACTGGCTATAAATAATGTTTGTTAAATATATATTAAATCAAACTGTTTTTCTTTGAGCCCTGACTGTTATTTGGAATATAGACGTACCATTCTATTCAACGGTAGAACAATGGTTTTAGACAAACAAAAACAATGTATTATTTTGTTTAGCCAGCAATAAATGTTTTTTACATCCCTCTAATACATATTCAGTGGCTAAGACGCTGAGCTTGTTGATCAGAAAGATCGGCAGTTCTGCGGTTAGAATCCCTAGCACCGCCTAATGAAGCTCCCGTTACTTGTCCCAGCTTCTACCAACCTAGCAGTTCGAAAGCACGTAAAAATGGCAGGTAGAAAAATAGGGATCATCTTTGGTGGGAAGGTAACAGCATTTCATGCGCCTTCAGCGTTTCCACATGACTATGGAGATGTCTTTGGACAGAGCTGGCTTCTCGGCTTTGAAAGGGAGATGAGCATCGCACCCTGGGAACGACTAGCACATATTCAAACATTACAAGAAACATTCT